TTGCGGGTGGCCATGGGCACGTGTGGGGTCGGAACTTTCTGTGTTTGTGTCCCAAGTTCGCGACGGCTCTTCGGCATGAGACTGGTGTGTGTGCACTCTTGGCTGTAGGTAGAGTGGGGTGGGCGGGGGCCGGTCACCTGAGTCAGCTGGGCCCCTGCACTGAGGCTTTGAAAGAAAGGAACCTAGAAGCCATTAGCAGGCCCTTGGCTGCCCCTGTGTCATGCCCCCGTCTCTCAGGGACCCTCTCCTCCCAGGGCTCTTGGCTGTCGGGGCCTGGAGACCTGGGTGGAGGTAGTCAGAGTGGTGGCTGTGCATCTTGGGGTCACCATCCTTCTTGACCTCAAGTGCCCACCTCACAGGGATGTAGCAGCATGCGGGAGTGTGGGGGGCGGGGGTGTGTGTGGGGGTGTGTGTGCGTGTGTGTCCTAGCCTCAGGCAGAGATCTGGTAAATGGGAAGGGAGATGGGTAGACAAACTGGGGCCAGAGCCCCTTCCCTGGCTGGTCAAGTAGTTGCATAACCTTCACCAGGCCCAGCCTCCCTGCAGTTGGAGGGACACACACCTTTGGGGTGGGGAGCAGTTGGGGCTCACGCATGTCACGCTGCTGGTGCAGGGCAGGTGCTCTTTGCCCTGTGGGGAGTGTGTCCGACGTGCCTGCCCTCTCTGGACACGCAGCCTCCGAGGCTGGGTGGGCTGCCTTCTCTGTGCGGGGCCTGGTGAGCCATCAGGTGAAGAGGGGAGCCTGGGTTGGTGCTGACATTTCGGGTCAGCGGACTCAGAGAGGCAGAGCAGGGAGCAGGCTGGGCTCTAGTGTGTGACCTTGAGCAAGTCCTGGCTTCTCTGGCCTCACCTTCCCCGTCTGCAGAGGTCCTTAGCTGACCCCTGGGAGACCCCAGTCCTGTCCCCCCAGATAGTGCCCCCTCGCTGGCGGAGTCTGGCTTGGTGCCCCTTTGCCATTCTCCTCTGGGTTCTGGGCAGGAGGCAAGATTGTTTGTTGTCCCAACAGCTGCTGAGCCCCTAGGCCCCCAGCTGGGCAGGAGGGTGGAGCCCTCTCCAGCCCTCACAACCCCAAGGTGCCCTCAGAGGTGGGTCAGGGGAGAATCTACCCACTCTCTCTGCAGGGGGACCTGGAGGGGTTGGGGAGATAAAGCCTGGGGGTACCGCTGAACTCTGGGAGCTGGGGGACTTCCTCTGGCTCTGCTTTGGGGGCAGGGTGTGTGTGTGTGTTGGGGTGCGGGGGGGGGGAGGTAGGAGAGGAAGCTCCTGTGGACCGCCTGCTCCCACATTCCCTGGCTTTTGTCCCCTGGTGGCTGTGAGTGGGCTCCAGGTCCAAGATCAGGGCAGGCAGGGGAAGTGTGTGTGTGTGGAGGGTTCTTCCTAAGCCCCCACATGTTTCGTCCTGTCTGGAAGCACTGTAAGCTGGCCTCAGCCACACCCCACATCCTTGCTCTGACGCCAGATGCTGTGGTCACTGTCCCTCTTCATCTGCTCCAGGACCTCCCATGCTGACCCTACCCCCTGCCACCCCATAGCCTGGTCCCGGGCCCCTGCTCCCTACCCCCGTGTCCCTAATCCTGCCTCTTTCCTTACTCCTTTACCCCACACCGTCCCATGGCCCTCATCTGACATTGGGGCTCCAGCCTGTGGGGGACAGTGACATTGCATCGAGCACCTCCTCCGGCCTCCTCTGGGTGTGGGGTGAGTGGGGTTGGCCTGACATGCTGGGCAAGTCTGGGTAAAGGGGCTGTCCCCTTACCTGCTGCCCCTTTTGCTGTGTTTCAGGGTGGACAAGTCCTTCGCCCCTCACCGGAGTGTGTGGTAAGTACTGGGGCGGGCCTGCTGGGCTGGGCAGTCTGGAACCATTCATTACCGCCCCCTCTAATGCCAGACCAGACCCCACCACCTCTGGGCGCTCTCTGCACGCCCAGCATTCCGCTAACCTCTCTGCAGCTCGGTGCTCTCCTCTGTGCGGTGGAGATAGAAATGCCCATGTAACAGTGGAAGTTGTAAAAACCAAACCAAACGGCCCGGCATACTGTAGGCCCTCCCTGAAAGGGTGTCCTTGCTTTCTCTTCTCCATCCCTTCCCACCTCGTGGCAGCCCCCAGCTGGGGGTGCCCCTAGCCTCTGCTGACCCCCAAGCCCTCTAGTTCCACTTCATGCACAGCCTTCAGAACCCTCTCCTCCAGCCCGTGTCCTAAGCGTGAGTTGTCCTCTCTGTGGAGGAGGAGGGCGGGAGGCGGCTGTGCCTGCAGCTTCCCCAACATGGAGAGCGGTGGGTGGAGGTGGAGCCTCACCTCGGGGTTCACAGCACCCCCAGCGCTGCCCGGCTTCCCTGGCACCAGCACCACATGGGCCCAGTTGGCTGCGCCTGCTGCCACCTCAGCTCCAGCAGGAGATCCCCCAAGGTCTCTGGCTCCTGCTTCCTGCCCCTGCTGAGGGCTTCCCAGGGCCCCCAGGCCCTGCAGTGCCCCCAGCTGCTGGGCGACTCCTATCTGGCACTGTTGCCCCCAGGAAGCCCTCTCTGGGGTGGGAGGCACATGGGGTGCCCAGGCTGAGCTCCAGGGTCTGCCCTTTTATTTTCCTTTGATGCGCTCTGTGTGACCTGGGGCCAGTTACTCTCCCTCTCTGGGCTCAGATCCTGCTGCTGCGCCCGTCACTTTGAGCTTCTACTCTGTGCAAGACTGTGTGCTAAGCCCAGAGCAGAGGTAGGGTGGAGGTGAGGAAGATGCCGTCTTTTCCTTCAAGGAGCTCAGTAACAGTGTCTCCACAGCGGCCATTTGTCAAGCACCTGCTGTGACCGGGTACTGCCAGGTGCGTGAACTACACTACCTCACAGACTCTTTCCCACCTCCCTGAGCTGGGGGCTATTATCTCTGATTACAGATGAAAACCGTGAGGCACAGAGGGGGGAATTGACTTCCCCAAGTTCACACAGCTCGTCAGTGGCAGACCTGGGGTTTAAATCTCGGTCTTCTAGACTCGTCAGAGCCCAGGGTCTCACCTGCTCTGTCCCAGGGCCTCCAGGCCACAGGGCGGGTCTGAGTGAAGGATGCACTTGGGGAAGACTTGGAGATGGAGGGTGACCCAGAAAGTCCACTCCAGGGAGCCCTGAATGAAGAGTCAGAGATAAGGGCCCAGAACTGATAGTAACTATGAAGTTGGGCAAGTCCCTTTTCCTCTCTGGGCCTCAGTTGACACCTATAAGGTAAGATTCTGAGATTACCAGGGTTTGCCCGTGGCCCGCAACACCTTGCCCACAGCCTCCTTGCTGGAGTTGCTGTCCAAGGTGCTAACACCTGGATCCTCCCTTCCCCCCCTCCCACCCCCACTTCTGGAAGCGAATTACTTAGCCCCCACCCTGTGCCTGGCATATAATTAGTGTAAAACGGGGGTCATCTTGACTATTAATTGTGATTCCTGGCATTCAAGGCCTGTCCCCACCTCCTTTTCCAGCCTGGGACTCACTTCTCCCTTCCCTGCATTTCTGATCCGGGGGAGTAGGGCCCCTACGAGCACATTCTCCCCTCCCCTTGCTGTGCCCTCCCTTCCCATTGTCACCAGCCGTCGCCACGCCTCCACCCACCGTTGTCACGGTCTGTTGAGTGTTTTCTTTCCTGATCCCTGCACCCCATCTTTCTCTCCTTAGAACACCTCCCCGCCTGCTTATCATGCCTGTAGAGCGCACAGTAGGCTCTTTGCCGGGGTGGTGGGAAAGCGTGGCTTTCAGAGTCTGACAGACGTAGATTTGAAGCCGCCTCTGCCACATACCGGTGATGTGATCTTGGGCAGTCGTTCCGCTCTCTGAGCCCCGGGATGCTCAGTACGTATTTGTTAAACTGGGTCTGTCAGGGGCTGGCCTCAGCTGAGTTGAATGTGTCTCTATTACACTGCAGTGCAGGGCAGGCTCTAAGGTCCTTGGAAGCAGAAGTTACTTTTTAAAAAATAGATATTTTTATTCATTTCAGAGAGGAAGAGAGAGGGAGCGAGAGAGAGAAATATCAATGATGATAGAGAATCATTGATTGGCTGCCCCCTACTGGGGATCGAGCCCGCGACCCAGGCATGTGCGGAATGGAACCTGGGACCCTTCAGTCCACAGGCCGACGCTCTATCCACTGAGCCAAACTGGCCAGGGCAGCAGAAGTTACTTTTGACTTAGGCCCCCTTTCCAGCTCTACTTCCATAAAAGTTGGGCTGTACTCTTCTGATCTTTCTATCCTCCACACGGTCTTGCACAGCTATCCAAACCCAGTAAATGCTTAATGAATGTCTGTGGAATTGAATTGAATGTGTCCAGAGAGTGGAACAGCTAAAACTTTGTCAAGTAAGCTGGAAGCGCTTCCTGGAGGAGGTGTAGTTTTTCCAGCTCCTTTAAAAAAGGGATTAAGAGATTGGGGCTAGCATCAGGGGAGCAGTGGGGCTGGTAGAGGCCAGATGTGATCTGACTGGATTCCCTCACCCCCTGCACCTCAGCAGCAGGTTATTTGCAGTGGAGGAGCTTAGGACAAGCGTGCAGATGTCAGAGGGATGAGGCATGAGGCCCAGTGTGAGGATTTGGAGCCAGTGGGACAGTGGGTGACTCTGGTTGTGCAGCCGTAATGGGGGCTGGACATTTTTTTTTCTTTTTCATTGAATTTATTGTGGTGACATTGAGTCATGAGGGGGCTGGACATGGAAGGTGGATTCGAGTGGTGGGGAGAGGAAGGAGTGATCCTAGGGTGGGGGAATGGCTGGGTGTGGTCGTTCAGGGAAGGGGGTTCAGGAAGTACCCTGGGAAGAGAAGAGTCAACTTCCCAGAGACCATAAAGCTGGGAGCCTCGGAGGAGGAGACGGGACCCAGCAAGGATTAAGTGCCAACAGCGTGCCGGGCATGTTACTACGGTCGGTCGTCTCATTAAGTCGTGACGACAGTCCTGCAAGTTGGCTTCGTGTCCCCATTTTAGAGGCCAAACACCAAAACTGAGGATGGCGAAGGCTCTGGCCCAAAGTCACAGAGCTGATGAGGGCTGGACGTGAATCCAGATTTTTCTCTTGCCAAGGAAGCACCTGGCCAGAGATGAGGAAGCCACAGACATGAGGGAATTCCTGGTTCAGGGGTAAGGGGAGGGAGATGGCCCGCAATACCTCCAGAACAGTAGTCACTGCCCAGCCCCAGGTGCCCCATGGGGAGGGCCCATCTGGTCACTGAGATGTCCCCCTTTGACAGTGATGGTACCACTTGCTCCCGTATATGAGGCATTTCCTGGGTCCCAGGCCCTGGGCTGAGCACTTCATCTGAATTATTTTATTCCATCTTTAAACAGCTGCTTCCCCATCTATCTTCCCCATTTTATAGATGAGGAAACTGAGGCTCAGAGAAGGGACCTGGCTGGCGCAGAGATGCACAGTCTATGAGAGGCAGGGTGGTCAGCCTGAGGCCATACCTTTAACCCTTGCTCTCCTGGACCCGCCTGTGATGAGTGCAGGGCTTGGGTGGGCAGCTCCTGTCCTCAGGTGGCTTCTCCCCGTAATGACTGAGCCGGAGGCGCTGGGGTCTGTGTGCCTCTGCAGGAAGCACGAGGCTGGCCTCATTAGTGGCTCTGAAATGCCAGGCAGGCACAGCCCGCTGGGCCTCCTCATCTATTATGCATCTGGTAGGCAGGCCCCTGGCGGGTAGCTGGCAGAGCACAGGCTGAGGGAGCCAGCAGCTGCTTCCTGAGCCCACATCTGCCACCATACCTCTGGGCAGGCATCCCCCAAGGCAAATGCCAAGGCATCCAGCTGGGGGCAGGGGGTCCCCTTGGGGACAGAGGCATGGATGCTGGCCCCTACCTCATTAGCCTGCCCGTTCCAGTGGCCATTTCTAAGAAAGTCTGGGACCTTGATTGAGCTGGGGGTCACTTGGGACTAGGGTGGGAAGAGGTGGGCTAAAATAGAATCTTAAGGGCATAGCTTCCTATCTGTACCGCACCTCAGAGTGCTAGAGTCACAGTCATTAATACATCGTTCATTCATTCAGCCACAAGTAATTCCTGAGCACCTGCTGGGAACCACCCTGCACATTCTGTGGACAATGAGGCAGGCCCAGCCCCTATCTCCGGAGAGCTTGGTTTGGCCAGTGCTTCACATCCTTGAGCCTCAATTTCCTCAGCTACAAAATGGGGAGTAAAGAACATGGCCGATAAATGGGCAAGAACACAGACTTGTGGTTGTGCTGAATTGTGAAGCAAAGGTACACGCTCAGGAGAGCTGACCCTCACCTGGAGCCTGCTGGGTGCTGGGCTGTGTCCCAAAGCCCTTGCCTGTATTGATGGATTTAACCCTCACCGCCGCCTCCTGAGGCGGTGCCGTTATTATCCCTGGTTGAGAGCTGAGGAAACAGGTGTAGGGGGGTTACATAGCCTGTGTAAGGTCTCTTGGCAAGGCTGAGATTTGAATCGAAGCAATTGGCTCCCGTGTGCACATTACCCTAAGCTGCAGGGATGAAGGATGACGGAGGAAGTCACAGGAGGCCTTTTTGAGGAGGTAGCATTTGAACCCAAACCTGAAGGGTGGGAGGTATTGGCTGTGGAAAGAGTTAGCAGGAGCAAGGGGGCCGTCCTGGCAGAGGGGGGATAGTAGGTGCAATGGCCCTGAGGCAGGAACAGGCTTTGTTCTGGGAGCAGGGAGGAGGCCAGTGCGGCTGGAGGGATGAGGGAGAGTGAGGGCAGGGGTGGGTTTGGAGAGAGCGGAGGGGCCAGATTGATCAGGGTCTTGCAGGCAGTATAGGAGTTTGGATATAATGTCAGTGACTGACATGCAGAACCACTGAATCTTAGACTTCTGGCTTTGTAAATA